AAAAAACAATTTAAAACAAATAAATAAAAACAATTTAAATTCCTTGAATTCTTTTGCAGATTGTTCGACGTGGGCGGCCAGCGATCTGAGCGCAAGAAATGGATACATTGCTTTGAGGATGTGACAGCGATTATTTTCTGCGTTGCCATGTCTGAGTACGATCAGGTCTTGCATGAGGACGAAACTACGGTAGGTACAAATATAATTGAAATCGAATCAAAATTAAAATAAAACTCAAACTTACTGCAGAACCGCATGCAAGAGTCGCTGAAGCTGTTTGATTCCATTTGCAACAACAAATGGTTTACGGACACCTCGATTATATTGTTCCTGAACAAGAAGGATCTGTTCGAGGAGAAGATACGCAAGAGTCCGCTGACAATTTGCTTTCCCGAATACACAGGTAAGTAGCTGAAATTGAAATGGAAGATCATAGAATAGATATTAATAAATATTGTTTGCACTGGGTTTCAGGTGGCCAGGAGTATGGCGAGGCGGCTGCCTACATTCAGGCCCAGTTCGAAGCGAAAAACAAATCAACCTCGAAAGAAATCTACTGCCACATGACGTGCGCCACAGACACCAACAACATTCAGTTTGTATTCGATGCTGTCACCGATGTCATCATAGCAAACAATCTGCGCGGCTGTGGCCTGTACTAAGACGTGATGGCGGGGCTAAACGGGAACCGTTACGGTATTACAAAAACAAAACAAGTGAAAATAAAACAAGTTAAAATAATAATAATAATAATATAAATGAAAACAAAAACAACAAAAATACAGCGCGGGAGCACAACAACCCACCAGCATTGATCAAAAAAGCAAATGATGATAGAACCAACACAACAAACAACAAACAACATACACACACACACACATACTAAGCAAAAGCAAAGCCCAAAGAACTTTTATTTGTTGCGACACTCAGAGAGCGAGAAGCGTATGTGCTTAATGTATGACGAATGAGGAGAAAGTTAGTTGACTAAAGAGAGGGGAAAAGAGTAGAGTAAAAGTAAAGAAATATTCAAGCATTTCCTATATTTGCATTACATTTGCAACATGTATGACATGAAACGCACACACAAACAAACAGTCAAACACACACACACACACACACACGCATAATATGTAGTTGTTGTTTGGTCTGAATAATTTTATAGATTTCATAATTTATGTGTAGTTTAGTTTCTCGTGTATTTATTAAACAAAGTAAACGAAAGAAGTCGAAGCTGCAGAAGCAAACACAAAAAACTTAAACCAAAAGAAAAGTAAAGAATTGAAGTATATATACAGAAATATATATATATAGCGCATATATATGTATATATATATGTGTATATGTATATGTATGTGTATACCGGCATATAAGTATATAAATATTATATTATATATATATATATATATATTAAATGTTTCCTGTTGCAATCTCTTTGCAATTATTCATGCCATCAACGCTGCATTTCTCATGCTTGTTTAGGCTTAAGTTCAAAGTTTACAAACTCTCAGCGCAAATTAGAAAACAAAAAGATGAAGAAGAAGAATGAATGAAACGTGCAACAAACAAAACAAAAAGAACAAATCCCTGGGCAATGAATTAGCAGAATGCATATAAATATTATTAAAATAAATTGACAAAAAAATCCAAAAAAAAAAAAGAAAATTTACAAATAATACTTAAAGCATAACGTAATGATAAAGCAAGTGAACAAACCAAAAAAAGAAAAACAAGAAATTTAAAACAAGCATAAAAATCTAATATCTAAGGCCTAATTTAAAAGAAGAAGAAGAGCAAATCGATAAACGGACAAAAGCTGTAAGGAAAACTCTCTTAACTATTTGTATTTACTATCAAAATTGCGATCGTTGTTGCAGCCAGCCAGCCAGCCATAATTCGATTGATTATATAGAGATCGATGTAAATTGTAATTTGTTGAAATTTTGCGTGTGTGTGTATAGCATGATATATGCCATACCCATACATATAGGAAAGGGATCGGGAAGCGAGAAGCGAGAAGCGAGAATCGAGCAAAGAGCTGAAGCAGCTACAAATCGCACGCACAAAACACAATCACACATCACGCACACTCACACACACAAACTAAGATTAATTTTTTGTACACTAATTTATTGTAATTAATATAATTTTGTTGCATTTAGAAAGCCACATACGATTGCATCGTTTATAAAATGCAATTTGCAATTCAAAACACAGAGAAACTCGCAATAGTAACTGGGAAATAGCAAGGAAACGGAGGGAAAATCTCGAAAAGGAAAACGGTTCATTGTAAAACGCATTGTATGTAATATTTATAAAGCATATACATACTATATATAATAATAATAATAATATTAATTGTAACATTTATTGTATTTAGTGAATGGCATTTAACACTGTGCAGTTGCAGCTGTTAACTTTGTTTAGACTTATTTATATACACTTATTAATGTATTTATGTATATGCATATATGCCTATGCAACTTCTTTGATGTATCTATGATTGTGCATTTTGGGTTTACACAATGAATTTATAATTGTTATTTTATAGTATTTTTGTATATTATACAGTCGCTCTCTATCCCACGTCTAACTTAACTTCTCCTTCCGCATTTCATTTTCCTCCCCCTTCAAGTATGTTTTTTGCAATCTTTGTGCTCTTGCTCTATGCGAAATCCATTTATGTTTTATAGTTTTTAAACCTTATTTATGTAAAACACACATGCAACACGCAACTTAAACAAAACAAAACAAAAAAAAGGAAACAAAACAATTTAGTAAGTTTATTAGCAAAATAAAAATATCATTTAACATTTGGAAAACATTTTTGCTTCACAACAATAACTCATCCAAATCAACCAAAATACACTTGCAACCAACAACCAGTGTACGAACTACGCAGGAGTCGCAGATACTTGGGTATCTGCCAGATACTTTTGCAGTTGAATGCCATACTATGGGCAGATTTATAAGCCTAACACTCCTTAAATCTACCTAAACAAAAAAAGTAAAAAAAAAAAAAAACAAAAAAACCACAACCACAACAAACACTGTAATATTTATCGTATGTATTTTCCATTCAACTTGTAAAATTCTACCAAAATACAAAAAAAAATAAAATATATAAAAAAATCATTTTCAAATAAAAACTATTTATTCAAAAACAAAACAAACAGTCAAACTCTTTATTCTGCGCAAAATTTCTCTTACAGCTGGCTAAAAGAGCTGCAAAAAAAAAAACATAAAATTAGATAAAGAACAAATTTTTGATTGGATGCTGCTAAGCACACACACACACACAAACACACACACTCAAGCAAAAAGAGAGAAGGAGAGAGAGAGCCGTTGTGAACTCTTCTAAGTTGACTAAACTGTATGTAATTATATATATATATGTATATCTATATATATATATAAAAGTAAAATCAAATATATTTATTGAACATTTAAATTCAAGTAAACAGAAACCTAAGAAAACAAAACAAATATTTGTAACTACAACTGATGTAACTTATAAATATTATGGAACAACAAAAAAACAAGCAAACAGGAAATTATTCATTTAACTAAGAAAATAGAAAGAAAAAAATGCATACATACATAAATACATACATACATAGACATACTTACATATGTACTATATTTTTCTCGTAAATAATGTAACTAAATGAAAACTCCACAAGCAAACATAAACTATTTCATTAACCTCTTTTTTAAGCATATAATTTTTTCTTCAAATTTAAGAATCGTCTAGCTCAAGTTTGTAACTTAACAAAATAATAACTACAATTTTGCATACATATATATGAATAAATATAAAACAACAAATATACAAAATACATATTTACATATGCCATAAATAAACGATTTTGCATAAATGCGAAAAGAAAACTTTACATAAAATAAATTTAAAATTCAAATCATAGCAAAAAGCATATTTCATATTTTTCTAAAAACGGCTCATACAAAGAAGTTTTTGCTCCGATATTTAACACCCACACACACACCTTACCCACACACATACACAAGCCGCACCACTACAACAGTGAAAGAAATTAACTATTACTTTAATAGCAGTTAAACATTTTTAAGATACAAACATAAAAAAACTTTGATTTGTGCAAAGATTAACAAAAAAAAAAAAAAAAAAAACAAATTATAATAAATTTTATTAATTAACAAAACAAAACATTAAGAGCAACAGCAAATGTATTGTTCAAAGTAGAGCTGAAGATTGGCTAGATGGAATATGGAACCAGAGTTTATAGCTAGACAAACTGTAGATGTTGTATCCGAATTTGTTAGTCCAATTCGAATTGCTTTTGTTGTTGCGCTCTATATATTAAAAAAAAAAAAAAATAAATTCGTCATTTCTCATGTTTGAAGAGTTTAAGCAACAAAAAGCGAAATTCAAATCATATTTCTAATGATATAAATTATATATTTTGCATTCCTCGTGTACGAACTATGTATGAACCAAGCCCTTGAGCAGCAGTTTTTAAATGTGAAACGAGCAAAGTAAGCAAAACGGAAAACTATAAACAAATTACTAACGTGACAAACATAATGAAATTGAATCGTTGAATTACAAATTTAATATATATATATACATATATATATATATATATATATATATATATATATAATTATGATTATAATTATAATAAAAGCAAATACAAAATAAATGACAAAATAAACCAAAACACAAAATGTTTGTATGTAAAAGAAACTCAAAATGTTAGATCATCTAAAAATTTAAATAAAAATTAAATTAAAAATCAGAAAACATGCTTGGCAACTTTTCTTTTCATATCATTTGCATTAATTTAAATATATTAATTTTATATAATTTTTTCAATATAATTTTATTAATCATTAATCAATTAAGCATTTTAGCTGATCTTTAATGCTTCTCACATTGTAAATAGATTCTGCATATTTTCTATTTCTATTTCTCATCAAAATATTTTACATTTATTCCAATTCCATCCGTTGTTGCGTTTCCTTTTATATTTTATATTTATATTATTATATTTACATTTTTTTATAATTAAATTCATTTATCAATAGCATTCACTAACTGTTCTAAGCGTTGCTTTGCCTTAGCATCGAATCTGCCCAGTTTTTGCCGGTGCAGCTGCTCCGTATAAGAAGCTGTCTCCACTTGCAGCTCGTCCACAAAGATTGTTTGTGCTAAAGCAGCGACGACGCTACATTCATAGCTGCCATTGTGCTGCAGTAGCTCAGCAATTGCTGCTATGTCGCTGCTCTGCCAAATCTCTTCGCCATTGTAGGGCAGCCAGCCAATTAGACGCACATCTAGAGCCATTGGCTTGATTTGCTGCCACGCCTGTGGGCAGACAAGCAGCTCTGACAGCTTTGCATGATAGATGACCGTACTCAAGTCCAAATGCTTGATGCGCACAGTCAAATCATTGGCAGCAGTAGGAGTAACAGCAGCTGGCACAAAGGTGGCGCAAACACGCTCGTAACTATTGCTATCCATTTGACGCACGCAAATCTGTTGCAACTGTTCAATTGTGGGTACCACACGATGCTCTGGCATGGCATAGTAGTTGCTTAGCTCCTGCTGCAAGTCTTCATATTGCTGCTGCATGGCCAGCGTGTGCCAGGTGCTTTCCATTGAGGATCTGTGCGCCAGCAGACGTGCCGCAAAGTGTGACGGCGTGCAGATCTGAAGCAAACGAAGTTAATTACCAAAAGTTATACTTAAACTGAAACTTATATAATTAAAAATACTTCGCCTTATAGTGCCCGAGTTTGGGAGCCTCACATTTTATTTCCTTATAAATTCCCATTAGTCTTACAAATATTTACAACCCTCCGCTGCATCAACTCACCTTAAGCAGCTGAAAACGCATATATCCAGCTGTTGGTACAGTCGCACAGTTCGCATCTCTAACTGACAGCGTATGACGATATTGGCAGGTAGGCTTAAGGCAACGTCCATTTAACAATAACATCGGACAAATCACGCACTGACGCGACACTAAGGTTGCCTCGCGTGTCGCCTGCAGCTGCGCATGTGCCGTGCTTAGCAGCTCGTTGATGGGCTGGCCATGCTGTTGCATGAATTCTATCAACTGTGGCAACATGCGTTGACTTTGTTTGTTGAGCAGTATGAGCGAATGTAACTTCTGCTCCTGCTGCTGCTCCATGGTATCCAGCAGCATATTGGGTATTTGATTTTTGAGCACTGCAAACGATTTTCTAAACTGACTCCAAGTCGCGGGCATGTTGAAGTGTATGAGAGACTGAACGTTGTCCACAAGCAGCTCGGGCGAATGGTTGCGCAGCAACAAAACTTTGCCCGTTAGCTGTGGGATTAGAAGACAAAAAAATATATATAATAAAATAAAAAACATATTCTATTCAGGTTATTTACCTGCTGCTGCCAGAGCTCCAGGCGGCCCATATCCTGTCGAGCGCGATGCAACAAGTAATTATCCTTAGGCAATCGCTGCTGTAGCAGCTGGAAATCACTGTCACCTGAGCAATAGATCAAGGTACGCTGCCTTTTAGGAGATTGCAACACCAAGTAATCCATTAGCTGCTGCAGCTGCTCTGTTAAAGTTTCGCCCAGCTCCACTTTCAGTTGCAATCCTCCATAGACAGCTGCCTCTAGTGGCTCCTTGATTAAAACCAACGGCTGCTGAGCATGCTGTAAAAGTTCTTTCATTTGCGCAGCCAACCACAAGCGAGAGGTCACCACTAGCTGTGGCCTGCTGTACATCTGCAATAATTCCAGCTTGAGCGTCTGAAAGCAACTGCCGCCATAAGCCTGCAGCTTTTCCAGCTCATCAAATACTATTGTGCTGAAGTGAACATCTTTGGGCAGCTGCAGTTCAACAAGCTGCGCTGTGGTCGCAAGCCACAAGCCATTTCGCCTGAACAGCAGCTGAGTTTCATCGTGCTCGAATTCAAAGATGTCCTGCCGGCTGCCAGGCTCCTTTTCGAACTGCGCTCGCAGTTCATGCAAACGTTGACGCGTAGCCACCAGCACAAGAATGAGTTGAGTCTCTATCTTTTGGCGAAGTGGCTTCACGTAGTCATCCAACTTGGCTTTAGCTTCATCAATTAGCAAAACTGAAGCTCCTGCAAATATTGGCTTAGTCAGCAAATCCTTGGAGCAGCCAAGAGACTGCAGCTGCTGTCGCCCATGGACCAGTCGAAACGTATGATCGTTCATCTAGAAGGCAGGAAACAGCTCCATCAGCTCTCTCACATTCGTTTGCGTGTTTATGTGCATTTTATTATAATATTAAGAGTGGGTCTAAGAACTAAAAAGGTAGCTAAAAACCAATTGTAATAATCTTATGCTATATAAATCTGTTGAGGCTAAGTCTAGATTTGTTATATGCTAAATATTTCTAATCCAAAAGTTTCTTTTTTGACTTGGGCGTCGAAATGGTGCGCAAGGAAACGCGTCTCGGCGTCTTGCCTTTGGGCGTGCTGGGCTTTGGCGAGGCAACCAACGTGGCTGTTCTTGCAGCGGCCGTTGCTTCTTCCTTGGCAGGAATTGCTGCTGCCTTAACAGGCGTACCTTTCTTGGCAGGTGTACCCTTCTTAACGGGTGTTGGTGTCTCCTCTTGTGTATCCTCGTAGACCAATCGCATATCCTCGGTTCGCTCAATGGTCACCTCGCTGATGGCCAGTTGCGTATTCGCTTCCGCCTTTTTACCGGGCGACTTTTCTTTTGGAAATGGAACTACATCCTCCATGGCAAGCGGCCAGGCATCCATGGCCTCCTCGACGACCACAGGCGTATTCACGACGGGCGCTTCAATGAGCACCCTTGGCGTACGTCGCACTGCAATTGGCGTGGCATGAGGCACTGATTTAGGCGTTTTAGTGTTGCTGCTGCTGCTGCCTGGCGTGCGCGGTAATCTGCGCACCTGTATGGGCGTTGCAGGCCTGGATTTCTTCTCTGGCGACTCGAATTTCTCATCCGAGCTTATGATCTCCTTATCGAGCACTGCCTCAATAGGCTTCCCTAGCACAACAATTGGCTGCTTGGGCTTGTTCGGCAAAGGCTCAGCATCATCAGTGGCTTTCCGCTTCACAGCAATCTCGATGGGTGCTGCAGTGGGCGTGGCTTCTTTGACTTTTCGACGAATTGCAATTGGTTGGGGCTCCGTCGTCTTGCGTGGCGAACGCCTGAAAGCAATAGGCGTTGGCTTCGCATCTGCCTTGACTACAGGCTTGGGACTGATCGCTACGTTGGCCGAGCCGCTGCTCTGCATGGACGAATCATTGTCTACTTCCAAGTCAGTCTCTGCACTCTCATTGCACTCATTTGCTTTACCCACGCTGGGCTTGGCTGCAATATTATTTGCTTTCGTTTTGTCTTGCAACGGTTTCCGCTTAGACGATTCATCCAATGAGTTTTTGCGCAGCTTTTGCCTTTTGATCTTACGATTCCGCTGGGGCAAATTCTCCGATGATTTGGCTGCAGCGCACAGCACTGCATCCATGTCTTCATATCGTTCACCCAGTTCCTTATCGCTGAAGGTCAGCACGGAGCAAAATCCATCGGTGCTGGATACAATCAAGATATTGCCATCATTCGACCAGGTTAGATCAGTCAATCGTGTGTAATGAATATTCGAGACGATGGCAAAAGGCACCGCCTGCTGTGTGTCGTAGAAGAACACAGAGTTCTTGGTGGCCACCGCATAGATCATACGATATGGCAGTGTTATCATCGGTGGATTCTTTTCCGCATCGTACGGTCGCAGACGGTACAACACAGGTGAGCAGCGCACAGCAACGGTGTATTCATTGGGAAAGGGCAGCACGAAAGCCGGCTTACTCAGATCGTAGCGACTGTAGCCATATGTTGTATGCGTTGGCTTTAACACCCCATCGTAGTCGGTCACGCCTGCAGGCGTGAACAGCAGCTTGCCGTCGGGTGTAAAGCAGAGGCGTCTAAAAAAGGTTTGCAGTGTGCCATCATGATATAAGCGTATACTACGGCCATGTAGCTCATGCCCCTCCTTAACGGGCAGCGTAGACTTGTTTACGCGATGCAAAACGCGTTTCGTGTTAGCGTCGAAAACCCGCAAATGCCTGGCATTAAATAGTAAATAAATAAATATTTATATAATTTAAAGTAGACAATCACTCACCTGTCGGTGCTCATCGTAGCTATAAACTGATTGCATGGGTCCCATGCCACGCCTTGCACATAACCCTTGTGATCGTCCAATATGGCCAGGGACTTGCCCTTGTGCACATCCCATAACATAGCCGTGTTATCCACTGAGCCGGTGATCAGAAACATCGAATTGGGCGCCCAGCTCAGATCGTAGACATCCTCCCGATGGCCACGCAACACCTTCAAAGTCAGCCAAACTTCACGATCCTGTTCACAATTGCCATCCGCATCCACAATGTTAACTACTTCGTGCTCTGCTTTTTGTTTCCAAATGAAGACAACACTTTCATCGTCGCCAGATGCGAGCAGTTCGCCATTGGGTGACCAGCGCACTGCGTTAACTGCACGCTGATGCCTCGCCAAGTCCGCTGCCAATTCCAGTTCAACGCTCTCGGCCTCGCCCTCCTTAATTTGATTTACGTACCAAATGAGGACGTGAGCGTCGGTGCCGCCCGAGGCGAGACGGCAAGTTGCGGGTGCTGTTAATCCCTGACTATTTGATTGTATATCTACACTCAGCACCGGGTCCCGATTGTGCCAAGAAATTTCGGGTATTTTGCACTTCATAATTATTTTAATTAATAAACTTACTTAGGTTTAATTTTATCGCGGCGAATGCTAGACTCTTCCCGCTCAAAACTCAGACAGCGATGTGCAACAACAGAAAAACATTGTTGCATGGCTAGTTACCAGACACTAATCGATAACACAAATCGAATACATATCAGAGTCAATTTTAACGATGTATCGCATGCAATGGCAGCCAACTTAATGTTTTTCGAAGTCGAATTTCAAATCAGCTGCTAAAATGGTAAACAAACGCCGCGTTTTTGTGAATATAATGTTAATTGTTATGTATTTCAGTCTGTTACACTGCACACCGACGTGGGTGACATTAAGATTGAGCTTTTTTGTGAAGCATGCCCCAAAGCCTGCGAGAATTTCCTGGCTCTATGCGCGAGTGACTACTATAGCGGCTGCTGCTTTATAAGGAACATCAAGGGCTTCATTGTGCAAACCGGTGATCCTACAAATACTGGGAAAAATGGACAGTCCATATGGGGCACCAAGTTCGATGACGAGTTTAAGGAGACTGTAAAGGTAGATATACCAAATGTAAGCGCTATCAATACTACAGATTCTTAATTATAGCACACGGACAGAGGAATGGTTTCAATGGCAAATAATGGTCCCAATGCCAATGCCAGCCAGTTTTTCATTACGTACGCTGCGCAACCAAACCTAGATCTAAAATATACGCTCTTTGGTCGTGTTATCGACGGCTTCGATGCACTCGATGAGCTGGAAAAGCTACCCGTCAATCCAAAAAACTATCGTCCGCATGTGGATAAGAAAATTAATGGAGTAACCATTCATGCCAATCCGCTTGCAGCGTGATAAATACGGATATGGATTCTACTAGACTTATATATATAAATATATATATTTTTTAACTAGCATTAAGTTACAATGATCATATTTTTTCACTCATTTACAAACTAATTAATTGAGAAACAGCAAATTGTGCAGAAGCTGCTAAAACTAAAACTTATAAATCAGCCACGTTGTCACACAAATTGATCAGTTAATTGTATATATATATATATATGATTGCATTGCTTATTTCGCGTGAATTTTGATTTAAAACGTTTTTTCTTTCGGAACACTTTTGCACTTAAATTGAAAACTTAGAATAGACAATATGCTTGATGATTGTTAAAACAAGTAACTAGAGAAGTAAAAACAAATGCTAACAAGAATCTCGCACGAGTTCCGCTACAAATAGGACTAATAATTATTTAGAGACGCCATTCGTGATGGACTTGGCTGGCTTCGGATGATCCTTCATATGCTGCTCGAACATGCTGCGGATGTCGGCCAGAGCCTGGCAAATATTCTTTGAGAACCGGTGCACATCCTGCAATTGTATTATTATATTAGTTACAATTATTCAAATGCCCTATGATTATTTACGCACCGTTTGGGGGCACGTGTTCTTAGCTGAGATATGGAAGAAGATTAAATTTTCACCGGCTATGATATAGGAGACACCATAGCCATCATCTGCTACGGGGCCAAAGCCACCGCCGGCGCTGATGCAATTTGGATGCTTCTTTAAATCCATTTTGGGCGTCTGGCCGTGTGGCGTTTGACTAGTGGACAGGCGCCAGGGTTCGCTGAGCACCTCGTTGAGGAAGGGCGAATCCACTTCCAGGTATTTTGAGACAACATACAAGCAGAACAGATGGCGATCAATGCCTTTTCCACACATGGCATCCTGATAGCCCAGCTGATGGCGATCGCAGGCTTTCTTTAGCAGCTCCACGCGCTCATCGTTCTGTAAGATATATAGAAAGATATTGTATATAACTTGGCTGGCATGAAGCACTATACACCTACCGTTGTGTTTGGATTCTCCATGGCCTTGACCCATGCTGATGATTCTATGGTGCAAGGGCGCACAGTTTCAGTGCGTCCCTCGCGGAAAAGGCGCGTCATCGATGCCTCATAGGTCAGCGAGAAACGTCCCGCATCCCGATAATAGGCCAACTGCAATGCCATTTGTATGAAGGCATCAGGCGAGAGACGGCACTTCTTCATGAAGCCCTTGCCGTACTCCTGGTGCACCAGGATGCGCAGATCGAGTTCATTGATCAGTTTCGTGGCACAGATGGTAGCCTCTTCGATCTGTGGCAGACACGGTTTCAGGTCCCAATGCAGACGCGTGGGCGTGGGCGGCGTGAACTCTGGAATGCCCTTCGTATTGCCTGTCTCATCATATCTAATGAAGTACATATATATATATATATATATATATGGAATGGGAATTAGTAGAGCATTATGTTATGTTATGGGTTATATATCAATGTTAGTTAGGCTGATAGAAGTTAGTCAAGCTAAGAGTAGGTTTATTTAATAGATCAATCAGAACAACTCGTCTGGAGAGTCTTGAGACCATTTGGAGTTATTGATTGAATCAATTTATATAACAGTAATTGGATTAGTCTGCTTTTCTTGTGTTGGAATTTAGCATTACCCTTCAATATCATCACCAAATATATATTCCCATAGATGTCCCATAACCGGTGCGTCCGCCCTATAAAAAATTCATAAATACAATTGATTAAGCCACAACCAAGGTTAAAATGCAAATGATATGGTAGTAATCTGTTATATAATATAGATGTATATATGTATATATATATATTTGTGTATCTATAATATACAACCGCCAACCGACACCAGCTAATGCTGTATATACTGTATATATATTAATATGTATTGTCGGTGCATTTACCCATCGCTTTCAATATCATCAATGATCAGATTCTCCCACATGTGTGAGGCGATCGCAGCGTCGGACCTTTTTACATAATATTTATTAATTTATAGTTACTGAAAAATAAAAAATATTTACCTTCGGCATGCCGAAGTCGATTCATTTTCAAGGCTAACTAAACACTTTCCTACATAATAGTCATATATCATTAATAATAGAAGCTAGTTATATATCATCACACATATTTGGAGTTACTTATAGAGCAGTCATAGTCGTAGTTGATAGAGCAGACAAACGATCGGACTTACATATACCATAAACTATAGACTATAAGAAAATGATGCACATTGATCCGCAAATATTTACCAAGTATGCTCGGCATTGAAGCCTACGCGCCCATTGTTGCCCACGCAGACGGTGAAGCACTTGTCGAACCAACGATTGTAGCCATTGCCATGGAGCAGCTTCTTGCCAAATGAGTCGAGCAGCTCGGGACGTTTCAGATCAAACTCGAACGGCTCATCATCCAGGGAGAGCACAAAGGCAGCCGACTCAATTGTGCGCAACGCAATGTGGTTGGGGCCATATGAGAAGAATGTGTTGCGTGCCTCGGCCCACTTGGAGCGATTCCAGGCAGTCAAAGCGGCCAGTTGCTCCTCGCCCTCCAAGGGTGTGGCCTTTGACTCGAGTATTTCCTTGATTTGACTGTGAATGAAACATAAGTACAGGTGAGCCTTGACCGAATATGCCAACTGGCTTGGTTAGACTTACACTTGCAGTTCACAGGGGCGCAGAATGCGTCCTTTGTAGTAGATGAGCATCTTGTAGTAGCAGCCTTTGTGCAGCACCACAATGTGGTTGGAGTCGCGATAGTGAACGATGCGATCCGTTTCCAGACCAGGCACGCGCACCGTGTTGAATGTGCGCTCATATTGCCACGAGCAGAGCGGAATCATGCCCTGCACCATAATGGGCTGCAGCTCCTGATGCTCGATCAGACGCCGGAAGTTAAGCAGCAGCGAGATGACATTGGCGGCACGGGCCGACTGCACGTTGGTGAGATTCATGAAGATGGCATCGGTGCCATAGAAATTGCTGTTCACACACAATGGACTGCGACCGCGCAGATAGACATACTCCTCCCACCAATCCGACACGTAGTTCGTGGATGTCCAGCTCTTGAGCAGCAGATACCGTTGCAGCTTCTTGCCAATTGTCTGCTCGAACTCGTTGGCCAAGCCCTGCATGCGCTCATAGTTCTCATCATCGAGCAGCGGCCGCACGGAGCGCAAATAGCGCGTCATCGTATCGTGCACAGAGGGCAGCGGTAGGCGTGGCAGCGAGCCCTGAAAACTATAGAGGCCCGGCTTATTCCAGCTGGAAAGCACACGCACCACACCCACCCAGAGCATGGTGGGCAAGGAGACACGACTGCCCGGCGCTCGCGACTCATACATCCAGCCCTTGTACATGAGCAGCAGCTTGAGCGTATAGCGCATCGTAAAGCATATGGAAAGCCACACGGTCAGTGCAGTCAGGAAGCAGGCAGTGATCTGCCAATTCATTGTATTGCTGGGCAGATAGACGAGGATTTTGTTGGTCAGGTTGAAGGGCGCCTGATAGCCGGCAAAGTGCAGGCCCAGCGCGATGGCCGTGATTAGCCACAGACTTTGTATGTGAGCCGGATAAACGCCGTTCCGTATGCCATTCTGAAAGATAACGATATAGATATATTATATTGATTTATAGAGACTGGCTTATTGCTTGTTAATCTTACCCTGGCACGTGCCACACGCTTCTTCCACGAGCGCACGCCCGACGACAATACGAGATTGAGCACCTCGTGGTCATAGTTGATGTCGAAGCCCTCGTGCGTGATCGCAAACGAGAAGGCGACGGCTGAATGAGCTTCAGCCATACCTGCTGCTGCTGCTGCTGCTGCTGCTGCTGGTGGTGGTCTCTACCAAATGGCGCTGCAAATATGGATTAGATTAGATAGGATCAAGTGTTAATCACAAAATATATTGATTGTACTAGTTTATATTTAAATGCGCGCATTATCGAGTACATTATTATTTAGTTATTAGCTCTGCTTACGGATTTGGCCAGCTAGTTTATTGCTCGCTTTCGGACTTAATTAATTAAGCTGATAAGGGCGGCTAATATACTGAATCGTCAGCGTATTTTGCATGAATCAGTTAATATATTTAATTGCTGGATATACATATATATATAAATACATATTTTTACATATATTAACAGTGTTAAGCTGTGATGAGCATGCCAGAGAATGGCAATGACTTTTTCAAGTTTGAGACTCTAATGTTTGACTCTTTCATAGAGTTATTTGAAGGCAAGCAAGCTGACTATAAAGCAGAAAGAGA